CTTATGAGAGACCTCACTTCTGCTCACGTCATAGCGTGCGGTGTCACCGCTGCTTAGGTCCCGTCATATGGTTACTATTGCCCACGTCATAGCGTGCGGTGTCACTGCTGCTTATGCCACATCATATAAGTACTGCTGCACACGTCATAGCGTGTGGTGTCACTGGAGCTTATGTCACATCATACGGTCACTGCTCCTCACATAATAACGTGCGGTGTCACTGCTGCATGTGCTCACATCGTATGGTCACTGCTGCCCACGTCATAAGGTGCGGTGTCACTGCTGCTCATGGCACATCATATGGTTACTGCTGCCCACATCATAGAGTGCGGTGTCACTGCTGATAATGTCACGGCAACTGCACACTGCGGCTCGTGTCGAAGCATGTAGCCTCTGCTGCTGGCATCCCAACATGAGCTGACACTGCTGCCAAGTCACAGCATTATGTTAATTTGACGTTTTATGTCACATCCTCTGGTCACTGATGTCTTTGACAGCAAGGGTGCTCACTCCTCCTCATGTCCAGCATCCTATCCCTGCTGCTCATGTCAAAGCATGTGGTATCTACTGTTGGCGTCACAACATGATGCACCACTGCTGCCAAGTCACAACATAAGGTCTATTTCCTGTTTATGTCACAGCACCTCATCAATGATTTTTATGCCTGTCCATGTGCTCACTCCTGCTAATGTCACAGCATCATATCACTACTGCTCATGTCAAAGCATGTAGTGTATAGGGTTGGAGTCGCCACATGAAGCGCTACTGCTGCCAAGCCACAGCATAATGGCACTAATATTGATGTCATAGTATCCCATCACAACTTTTTATGCCAGCGCATGTGCTCACTCCTGCCCATCACACAACAGCATATCCCAGGGGCGCATGTCAAAGCAAACTGTCTAGTGCTGGCGTCACAACAAGAGGCGCTACTACTTACAATTCACAATATAATGTCTATTTCCACTTTCTGTCACCGCATTTCATCCCTGCTTTCTATGACTGCGCATATGCTCGCTCCTGCCCATGTCACAGCATCATGTCCCTGCTGCTCATGTCAAACATGTAGTGTGTACTACTGGCGTCACAACATGAGTTGACACTGCTGCCATGTCAGAGCATAAGGTCTAGGACCAGTTTATGTCACGTTCAAATCATCATCATTGCTCTTTATGCCTGAGCATGTGCTCACTCATGCACATGTCACAACATCATACCCCTGCGGCTCATGGCAAGGCATGTAGTGTCTACTGCTGGCGTTTAGAGCGTAAGGTCACAGCATCTCATTACTGCTTTTTTTGCCACTCGTCCTCATGTCACGGCATCATATATCTGCTGCCCTATGTTAAAGCATGCAATGTCTACTGCTGGCGTCACAACATGAGCCGACACTGCTGCCATGTCAAAGCATAAGGTCACTGTTGTAACCTGTCACGGTATCTCATCAATGCTTTCTAATCCTTGAGCATGTGCTCACTCCTGCTCCTGTCACAGCTTCAATTATCTGCTGCTCATGTCACAGCTTCATATAACTGCTGCTGGTGTCACATGATGTAGAGTCTGCTGCTGGCGTCACAGCATGGGGCAACACTTCTACCATGTCAGAGCATAATGTCTCAGCTCTAGATGCTCGACTCACAGCATATGTCCGCCAACTACACGCATCATAGCGTGCAGTGTCACTTCTGCAAATGTCACAGCATGGCAGGGTTGCTGCTGCTCATGTCAAAGCATGTAGTGTGTGCTAGGGGCGTTACAACATGAACCGACATTGCTGCCATGTCACAGCATAGGGTCACAGCTCTGCAGTTCATAGCACCATACCACTGCTCTGTGATGTCACAGCATGTGCTCACTCTTTCTCATGTCGCAGCTTCACATCACTCTACTCATGTCACAGTATGTAGTGTCTGCTGCTGGCGTCAATGAAATTAGGCAACAAATCTGCTATCTCACAACATAAGATCAGTTGGCGCTGGCCCTAGCATCATATCACTGCTTACTCTTGTCACCACAAGTGCTCACTCCTCCTCGTGTCACAGCATCATATCACGTTGGCGCGTGTCAATGTTGGCGCGTGTCAAGGCATGTAGTGTCTACTGCTGGCGTTGCAACGTGACGCATAAGGTCTATGCTGTTTATGTCACACCATCTCATCGCTGCTTTTTTTGTTTGAGCATGTGCGCACTCTTGCTCGTGTCACGGCATCATATAACTACTGCTCATGTCAAAGCATGCAAGGTCTATTGGTGGCGTCACAACATGAGCCGACACTGCTGCCATGTCGAAGCATAAGGTCACTGTTGTTTCCTGTCAAAGTATTTCAACAATGCTTTCTAATCCTTCCTGTCACGGCTTCGCATAGCTGCTGCTCATGTCACAGCTTCATATAGCTGCTGCTCATGTCACAGCTTCATATAGCTGCTGCTCATGTCACATATTCATATAGCTGTTACCCATGTCACAGCTTCATATAGCTGCTGCTCATGTCACAGCTTCATATAGCTGCTGCTCATGTCACAGCTTCATATAGCTGCTGCTCATGTCGCAGCTTCATATAGCTGCTGCTCATGTCGCAGCTTCATATAGCTGTTGCTCATGTCACAGCTTCATATAGCTGCTGCTCATGTCACAGCTTCATATAGCTGCTGCTCATGTCACAGCTTCATATAGCTGCTGCTCATGTCACAGCTTCATATAGCTGCTGCTCATGACATAGCTTCATATAGCTGCTGCTCATGTCACAGCTTCATATAGCAAATGCTCATGTCACAGCTTGAGACTGCTGCTGGTGTCACATGATGTAGGTTCTTCTGCTGGGGTCATAGCATGAGGCTACACTGTTGCCAAGTCACAACATGTGATGCGTCTACTACTATATGCCATAAAATCGGATTGCTGCTCTATATGTCACAGCTTGGGCTCTCTCCTGCTCATGTCACAGCATCATACCACTGCTGCTCTTGTCACATTACGTGCTCACTGCTGCCGATGTCGTCACCATGTGCTCATTGCTGCTTTTGTCACAGCTCGTGGCCTTCGCCATTGATGTCTCAGCAATAGCATTCTGATGCTCGTTTCAAAGTGTGAGGCTACTGCTCCGCCTCTCACAGCATGTGCTCACTTCTGCTTTGTATCACTCTATTGCCCATAACGACATTGCCTCCCATCATGGAGGTGCAGCTTGCTACTCATGGCTCCAACGACAAGTGTAGAGTTACATGCGGCAACGCAAGCATGCAAAGATGCAACGATGGGAAGCGTGCGCGTGTGCGTAGGGTACGTAGAAGGCGAATGTGATGTTTGAGGAAGGGCGATGCCAGGGCGACCGAGTGAGGCAACGCGATACACCGTGGCGTTGCTGTCATACCGAGGCGCTACGACTGGAAAATAAGTCGGGCTGTCTACATTGGCCGAGAGATTGACGGCGGAGGCGGAAGGCTGGGGATACTTTCGCGACGCGCGAGCGTGTGCTTCTTTCTAAGCCTGAGACTACTACTCGCTGCAACGACACTTGGAGAGAACGTGGCGGTTGCGTTAGAGGAAACATGATGGCTACGGCTCAGTTGCAACTAAAGTCGCCAAAGGTCCCTGATTCGTGTCTTTGAACAGAGCACTTAGACTGAGGATTGCCCGTATGTGACGGGAGAACGACTACTAGCGTGCCTCATAATATGCGTGTCCAAGCGTTCCCGATGGTTTTCAAGTTTACTCAAGGTGAATAGTGCTTTCCCCTGAGGCGTTGTTCCTGCTTGTTGTTCCAGTTTATCGCTGGCCAATCACGGATCACCTCTGCTGCTTGAAACCGACGGATTGTTCTGAACCAGCTGGTAACATGGTTATTCACGAAATCAACTTCAAGAAACTTGAATTTGAAAAATACCATGTGAAACTCGGGCTTTAAGGGGTGCGTTGGCGCAACTGTGGCTCAAACAACCAATTTGACGAGCAAGCGGGCCGCCGACAAGATTTTTCTATGGTGCGCATGTGGTCGATAGCGACAAATGTGGCACTTGGACCGTGGTGATTTGTGTTTGCACGCGATGTGTGGCCAAATTTGCAGTAAACAAAGTTTCAGTTCAGTGTACTGGCCATCGTACCCTGATACCCTCAGGGTAGTCGACTTCGTTATAATGAAGTTTTTTGAAAGTGTGTAACACTTTCTAAAAATGTATATTTCGAAAGCGATGCTGCTTGTAATGCAGCAATGGCAACGGCGAAGTGCTCTACGCTCTTCGCCAACTATATAGCAAGGGGTGGAGGCCATTTGGCCTCCACCCACGTCTTCCTTTGAAATTTCAAATGTCTTATTTCATTCTCGTCCGACGACTTAGCGCTTCCCGTTTTCCTCAGTTTCTCACTTCTCTCATAAAATAGTAGGCATCAACTCAATTGACATGGCACAACGTGTTTCAGAAATAGGCACCCGTCTGCACAATAGGCGCGCTTGTTGGGGCTAATAAAGCGACAACGCCACTGGCGCACGTGGCGACGAAATCGCCACAAGCGCGCGTGGCGACGAAATCGCCACAGGCGCGCGTGGCGACGAAACCGCCACAGGCGCGCGTGGCGAAGCAATCGCCACAGGTGCTCGTGGCGACGAAATCGCCACAGGCGCGTGTGGCGACGAAAACGCCACAGGCGCGCGTGGCGACGAAAACGCCACAGGCGCGCGTGGCGAAATCGCCAGTGGCGCACGTGGCGTAAAAATCTCCAGCGGCGCAAGTGGCGCCAGTGGCGCTCATGGCGCCGAAATGGTCAAAATCGCCACTGGCGCACGTGGCTACGACATCGCCAGTGGCGTGCAATAACCAGGGGCTCGTCCAGCGGCAGTCGGCACCAGCAGGTTGGCGAAATCTCCAGAGACAAACTGGCATGACATATGCTCTCCTGCTGCTGACATTGTCAGCGGATAACTTATTACCTTGCATATGTTTCCACCTTTTCTTCGTACGTATCTTCGATTTTTGTTTGTCTTCGTTTTTCTCTCGTGTTATTTATTACCTCTGATCGCAGTAAATCGGTGCGAGGCAACTACCATAGCTTTGGGTCGCCATGAGAGACCATCGGCGAAGAAAGACTGCGGCAAACAATTGGCACAACCCCATGCGCTCCCGTGCGGTGTTGGCAAGCGAGCTCCCCAGGGGGGAGGAGGACCGGTGGGTCCTGTGCGGTGCTGGCCAGCGAGCTCCCGAGGGGGGAGGAGGACCGGTGGGTCCTGTGCGGTGCTGGCCAGCGAGCTCCCCAGGGGGGAGGAGGACCGGTGGGTCCTGTGCGGTGCTGGCCAGCGAGCTCCCCAGGGGGGAGGAGGGCCGGTGGGTCCAGTGCGGTGCTGGCCAGCGAGCTCCCCAGGGGAGAGGAGGACCGGTGGGTCCTCTGCGGTGCTGGCCAGCGAGATCCCCAGTGGGGAGGAGGACCGGTGGGTCTTGTGCGGTGCTGGCCAGCGAGCTCCCCAGAGGGGAGGAGGACCGGTGGGTCCTGTGCGGTGCTGGCCAGCGAGCTCCCCAGGGGGGAGGAGGACCAGTGGGTCCTGTGCGTTGCTGGCCAGCGAGCTCCCCAGGGGAGAGGAGGACTGGTGGGCCCTGTGCGGTGCTGGCCAGCGAGCTCCCCAGGGTGGAGGAGGACCGATGGGTCCCTTTTTGGCTTGTGGGCCATTTGTAGGGTAGATTCATGGTTGTGCAATTTAGTTACACTTCTCACACACCTTGGGCTTTGAAAGCCTTCAATTGCACGGTCCGGATGTGGTCACACTTGAGTTGGTTGATTGAACAATGTTGTGGTGAGTTTGAAATGGTGCTCAAGTCTAGCAGATCCAAAAAAAAAAAAAAAAAAAAAAGCACACACATACAAAGGGCTCAAAGGCCGACAGATTTACCGTATCCCGATACAGATGCATGCACTCTTCGTAATGTGAGCACGGTTGTGACTGCTACAAGGGTTGGGCTCCTACAAGCAATCACATCCATCATCACACAAAACACCAATGCCCGTTACCCGAGTCCTCCTATACTGCTTGCGAGTTTGTGTCCGAAGCTCACATGTCAGCCGACTCTCATAAATCAACATTACTCTGCTACACTCGGGGCAACACTTCATCCAAGGCAACAGCAGGGAATACAGGATCACCATCAACATCAGTGCCAGCCTCTCCTTCGTGCGTGATTGGACCTCCACCGACATGTCATCGCATAAGCCACAAACAACCTTTACCATCTCGTTAGAATGACCCCGTCTCATGTCTCAGAAGACCCATTTGAAACGAAGCTCGTTGCTATTGCAAACACAAGAAAGCAAGCTTTCTAAATTGTGTAAATCACAGCTTGGCCTTTTTTCTCTAGGGTAAATTTGATAGGCTGGTTTTGCTAGGGTAACTGGTAAGAAGCGGCCTACCACTAGGGCAAATAGGGCAAAGCGGCCTAACTGGTAAATTTTGCCCTGATATTCTGAACCCTAGTTCCAGACATTCAGAATGCTGATGCGATACATGTCTGTACACAAAATACAAGTATCTATGGGTACATCATACCAAGAAGCAATCTTAGCTGGAGACAGATGCCGAAGCTAGCAAGAAGTCCATACCAGCGTTGAGAATCACAAGCACATGACTTTCCTTGCCCATGTTCAAGGGCCTGTACAGTACAGCTTCTGCGGTACCTGGCAACCTTGGACACATCCATCATGGATACCGTAGTACACCTTGTCACACATGAGGTGTCCACAACCCCATGGACTGCCTGGGACCAAAGCTTTGCTCTCCCTTAACGCACTCGAACCTCAATCACTCTCACCCCCCTTTCCTCCACCTCATTTTCCTCTTGCCCCTGCGGCCCCAGCACTGCCCCTGTGCGTGCATCTAACCTCTCTCCCAGCGCAAGGTAGACGTAGAGAGCAGGCACGGATGCGAGGAGGGAGAGGGTGAGGGTGGAGAACGCAGTGGAGAGAATGGAGGAGAGGAAGAGGCGCGTGAAGGAGGCACCCACGACCCATGCATGCGGGGCGGACAATGGGGAGGGAGAGAGCATGGGCACCTAGTGTACCAGCCGAAAAGGGATACAAAAAGGTGGGAGAGGAATCCAGGGGGAAAGAAGTGGAAGAGGCAATATGAGAACAGGTTGGGATGAGGAGTCAATAGCCTAGAAAAGAAAAGAGCATGCAAGTCACACACTAACAGACCACACAGATCAGCCACACTGACACATGCTGGAATTGACCACAAGCACCCTCCCTCCCCATACCCACACTGCCACCCACTCCACCCCTCACACCATCCCCCACAACCCCATCCCCCTCGTCCTCTCACCTTGCACTCCCTCCCCTCAGCACACCCCCCCCTTCATGGCTGTACCACCGTGTCTGTGAGCACGCACCAGCAACCCCAGCAGAAGTTGGGCGATGGAGTCCAGGGCCGCCATGAGCAGGTGAGTGAAGACGAGGAGGGCGAGCGACGGCAGCAGGTGTGCGGGCAGCAGGCGCAGCGCGATGGCAAGAGAAGCCCACACGCCCTTGCCCGTGATGCCCGCCACTGCCACCACAAACCTGGGGGGGTTCCGGTAGAGCGACGGTGCGCGACGGCAGTGTAGCAGGGAGATGGAATGATTTTAGACCGGTGCTCGTTGCACATGGATGGACGAGGCAAGACGGGATTGTCTCTGGCAAACATTATGAGGGGAGAATCCATCGCCCATGCCCCATATGTGAGAGCTCATGACACGGGTGGGTGGGAGAGAGAGGAGGCACGGCCTAAGAACAAGTGCGGGAAGTCAGCTCACCAGGTGAGGACGTGCAGCAGCAGCAGTTGCGCCACGGTGAGCAGCGCAGCAGCAGAGCCCGTCAGCAGCCCCGGCACCTCCAAGGACGCAAACACGTACACCGCCAGCCAGGTGTTGAGTGCGGTGAAGAGGATGTACAGTACGATGAGCAGCATCGCCACCGCTGCAGCTGTGCCCAGGGAGCGCGTGAGGACGAGCCTGCGGAGAGAGTGCAGGGCGCGATGTTGCAAGGGATAATGGCCGGAGAACGAATGACGTACAAAAAGAAAGAAAGAAAGAAAGAAAGAAAGGAAGAAATAAAAAGAGAAAACGGACAGGAAGTGTGCTGTGAGAGGCACGGAGATGGGAGACACGGTGAGAGGGGTTATGAAGAACAGGGGACGGTCGAGAAACAGGTGTGTGCGGCACAGGGACGGACCTGAGCGCGTGACCCAGCAGAGGCAGGTGTGAGAACTGGGGTCGTTTGGTGATGCCAATGGCTGATGGCCAGGAGGAGGAGCATGGCTAGGCCGAGGAGCGCGAAGAGGCAGGCGAACTGCACTTGGAAGTGGAGAAACGGCGACCCGGCTCAGGATGATGAGGCGAGAGGCGAGGACAGCGAGGGGGAGGCGAGGACAGACGTGGGGGGGAACGGGGAGGAGAGGGATGCGCGATCGTTGGCAGAGAGAAACGGCGAGAAGAGCAAGGCGAGAGAGTCGGGGAGGGAAAGAGACGCGAGGTGGCTGCGAGTGAGCAGCCTTAGGATGCTGCTGCTGGCAGTGAGGGAGGGAGTGAGAGCGGCGGCAGCAGCGTGGACCACGGAAGATACTCCATCCGTCATCAGAGCTCGAGCTGATGCTACTGCTGCCGCAGTGGCCACGCCTATCGCGGTAAGGACGTGCGATGACGCGGCGGAGCCGCCGAAGCCGGAGATGGCAGCGGCGATTTGGGAGAAGAGGAAAAGCGCGACGAGAAAGTAGAGGAGGGCGTAGAACGCGAGGAGCGCGGGGAGAAGCACGGTGAGGCTGCTGCGCTGCCTCACGTACAGCAGCGGGATCCACACGAGCGGCGCGCCGGCGACGACGGCCACGCCGATGCGCGCGTACGAGAGGGCGACGAGCGCCGCTGACGGGCCGGGGGACGCGAGCAGGGCGGGGAGGAACAGGCGGAGCGCGCGGTAAATCGTGAGAATCGCGAAAAAGAGGAAGGCTATGCGCCACGGCTGGTCCCGCCATGGCCGCGACTCGAGCGAGAGAGGCACGAATGGCGCGGAGGGAGAGGATTCGAGGAAGCCGGCTTCGGTAGAAGCGGCAGGAACAGGTGGGCAAGGTTGCGCGGGGGCAGGGTGGAGAAGAGGTGATGACAGGTCGGAGGAGTTAGCGGTGCTGCTAGGACGAGCGGCGCTGCGGGAATCCGTGGCGAAAAACTCGTCAGACACCGTGTCGCTGTGTCACGTCGAAATGCTGGGACTGGGATGGAATGGAACGTGAAGAGTAGGAAGGGAATTTGCAAAACCCACTTAGGCCTTGTTCTGTAGGCGGACAATGTCCAACATCTGGTTTCGCACAGTACAGATTGATAACTGATCAACTGCTTATCTAGGTTTGGCGATGAGCGCACGGATGCCAAACCTACTTGCGCCAAATTTGACGCTTCTGCCTGCAGAACACCACTTTGACCCGCACAAATTTAACCGTGTGCTGGCTCGAAGCAATTGCTATGCCTGGGAAATGGTCGCACAACTAGTGCGGGGCTGATTCAACCTCCAGGGCAAGCATCAGCCAGCGCACAAGTTATCTGGGGCTTTGGATTGCGGGAATGCATTTGAAATGCGGGGCTTCGTAGCAACATCGAGGGAGACAATTTTGATTGCATGCGACACGAATATTCAAGGAAGGACTTTCCCAGACATTTTGTGCGGAGGCCAGTCCGCCTACAGAACAGGGCCTTTGCTTTCAAGAGCAACATGGTTCGCAATTTCGTGAATTCATGTAAGGAATTTTCTCGATATTCCTTAGCACACCCTGCAACATCGCGTACAGCACCAGCCGTTGTTTGCCCGTTACTGCTAACGGGGCTTCGCCTACTTCGCGTGCACTGTTTCACCAAACCTCGCACTGCTGGCCTGGCCGTGTCGGCCTACGCTTCGGGACTAGCCCGAGCCTCGCTTCCAGCGTAGCACTAGCTAGCTCGCACGCACCGCGTTACCGTTTGCATGTCTCGCGTATAAATGTTCGCTCATGCCTTCGCTCATATTTTGTACTCGTTTGACACCTTAGTGCAATTCTCGCTACTTCGATTCATTGCACCCGTAACAATTCAGCAGACACGTCAGGGTGTACAGTTCGAGGGCGCGCATGCAGAGGGGAAGTAGGCTAAGGCTATATTAAGGTCGTAACCATGTACAACAAAGCATAGAGAAGCTAGAGATATGGTCTACACAAACCAAACGCCCGAAGGCATACGTAGGAAACACGTTATCTCCATATCCTACGGATAACCGCCAGCACGGCTGGGGAGCTCTCTATGCTAAAAAAAGGAAGGCCTAAGGGGGGCGAAAAGGGTCATCGAGCAGCTAAGATGCATGGAGGTCAGGGTGAATAGAAGGGGTGCCGTCATGGTCAATATCGAGGAAGCGAAATTGAGTGGCCAGCTTGATACGAGCGGCTGAGCGTCGTTGTTTTTTCACAGATTTGTGTCTTCCTTCGCCAGAGAAAGATCTTGAACGCAATGAGGAACTGTGCTAGGATGAGTTGGAGAATCTCAAACCGAGAGGAGGGTGAGTCTTGGAACTTGTGTTCACAGCGCGCGTTCCAAATGGCTTTCGCAGATGCTCCAATCAAGAGGCTCCAGGGGGCCACCTGGCCAGCTCTAGAGGCGAGTGGAAAGAGCAAGAGCTCAGGAGGAGGAGAGCAGCAGAGGTGACGACGTGCGACGGAGGAAAGAGCAGAAATCACTGCAGGGGCCACTGTCAAATTATAATATTGTGTAGGCTATAGTGGGGTAGCCCATATGGGGTACACATTTCTAGGGTTGCATATTTGTATCACTTCCATTCCTTAGTCATTTCATTTTCTCGTTCTACTTTCCTCATGGTATCGAGCAGGTTCCCCCGTGGGAGCTGTGCCTAGGGCCCACCACATCGATCTTATTTTTTCTCCTGCCCGAAGCGCGCTCAGCCCGAGTCGCGCTCCGGGCTCTCACCTCTTCGAGCCGCCCTTCTCAGCGGCCCCGCCGCCCTTCTTAGCAGCCCCGCCGCCCTTCGCTGCAGCCCCGCCGCCCCACATTGCGGCCCCGCCGCCCTTCTTCGCGGCCCTGCCGCCCTTCGCTGCGGCCGCGCTGCCCCTCGTCGCGGCCCCGCCGCCATTCGCTGCGGCCCCGCCGCCCGTCTCAGCGGCCCCGCCGCCCTTCTTCGCGGCCTCGCCGCCCTTCGCTACGAACCCGCTGCCTCACGTTGCGGCCCCGCCGCCCTTCGCTGCGGCCCCGCCGCCCGTCTCAGCGGCCCCACCGCCCGTCTCAGCGGCCCCGCCGCCCGTCTCAGCGGCCCCGCAGCCCGTCTCAGCGGCCCCGCCGCCCTTCACTGCGGCCCCGCCGCCTCTCTCACTGCGGCCCCGCCGCCCTACGTAGCGGCCCCGCCGCCCTTCACTGCGGCCCCGCCGCCTCTCTCGCTGTGGTCCTGCCGCCCTACTCACCGGCCCCGCCGCCCTTCTACTGCGGCCCCGCCGCCCTTCTACTGCGGCCCCGCCGCCCTTCTCAGCAGCCCCGCCGCCCTACTCAGCGGCCCCGCCGCCCTTCCCAGCGACCCTGCCGCCCTACACCACCCGCGCCGCCCGAGCCGCCCGAACCGTCCGAGCCGCCCGAGCCGCCCGACCTGCCCGAGCCGCCCGAGCCGCCCGACCAGCCCGAGCCACCCGAGCCGCCCAAGCCGCCCAAGCCACACGAGCCGCCTGAGCCGCCCGAGCCGCCTGAGGAGCCGAGCCGCTGGTGCCACGGAGCCGTAGTTGCTGCTGTGCCGTCGGAGCAGCCGTGTTGCCGTGCTGCTGTACTCCTGAGCTGCCCGACCCGCCCTGCCTGGTGAGAGCAGCGCTTCTATCACTGCACTGCCCCTGTCCTACAGTTGGTACTGCTAGTCTACTGCTGTCATGGCTACCCCCAGTGTTCTCACTTTTGACACTGAGGGTCAAGCCATTGATTTTGAGGTTTGGGTAGATGACCTGCAACTTTTCCTACAGTGCGATAGGGCAGACGGGCTCTCCCTCTTTGACCTCACCTCTGGTGCTTCCCCTGCCCTGCTGCTGATGCCGATGCCACTGTTCGCTCCCAGTGGGCCACTCGCGATGCTGCTGCACGTCTTGTTGTGCGTCGCCACCTGCCTACCACTGAGCACGCGCACTTTAGTTAGTACAAGAGTGCTCAGACCTTGTACGACGCTGTAGTTGCACGCTACTCTTCCCCTGCCACTGCTGCACTGAGCCGCCTCATACTACCGTACCTCTTTCCTGACCTTGCTGCCTTTCCCACAGTCGCTGACCTCATTACGCACCTCCGCACTAGTGACACTCACTACCGCGCCGTGCTTCCTGCTGATTTCTGCGCCAAGAACCCCCCCCCCCCGCCATGTACATCACTCTCTATTATATAGTCACCTGCCTCGCTGACTCCCTTCGCGTAGTCAGGGACCACTTCCTCTCAGTCTGTCCCACCACTCTCACCGTTGACCTCCTCGAGAAGGCCCTCGTAGCAGCGGAGAAGAGCATAGTCGCTGTAGGAGCCTCTCGTGGTGACCCTCGCACCCCCATCTTTGAGGGGTGTTCCCCTTCCCCCCTGTTGCCCTCTGTCGCCTCTGCTTCTGCGACCGACCTCGTTGGTCTTGAGTCGGTTGGTGCGGCGTCTGCCCCTAGCGGGAGACGCCGCTCTGGCAAGGGCAAGGGGGGCAAGGGCACGGGTGGAGCTAGCGGGGTTGGTGGAGGTGGCGGTGGAGGCGGCAGAGGGAGTGAGGGTGGCGGTGGGAGTGGTGGCGGGGGTGGAGGTGGCGGTGGCAGCAGCGGAGGCGGAGGCGGCGGCGGCGTTAGCGGTGGGAGCGGAGGCGGCGGTGGTGGCGGAGGTGGAGGCGGCAGTGGTGGAGGAGGTGGAGCTGGTCGGGGTGGTGCTTCTCAGCGGAGCGGCTCCGGGGGTGGTCACCGCCAGCAGCAGCAGCAGCGTTCTCGGGATATCCCCCCTCCTCAGCAGCTCTGTGAGTGGTACACGCAGCGTCAGCGTGGTGGGGGTTTTGGCCCGTGCACCTACGTCCTTCGCTCCGGCGACCGCGCGGGTGAGCAGTGTGGGGGTGCCCACCCCACCCAGCGCTGCTTTGGTCGCCTGACGGACGCTTGGCGTCAGCAGTTCCCGGAGGCTAGTGAGATCCCCCGCTGGGGAGAGCTGTCTAGGGCAGGAGTAGCTATCTATGATCTTGACTTTGATGCTATCCTTGCTGCCATGTATGCTGTGACTTTTAGTGATGAGGGTGACTGTTACCGGTGTTTCCCGCCCGACCTGCGCATTAGTACTGCTGCTCTAGGTACTGGTGAGGCTGCTGCTCTAGGTGCCAGTGCGTCTGCGCCCTCATGTGCTGGTGAGTCTGCGCTCTCAGGTACGACGTCGGCTTCGGCCTCCCTCACCTTCACACTTGACTCAGGGGCTTCTCGCTCCTTCTTTCGAGACCGCACCACACTCACGCCGCTTGGTCGGCCGGTTGCAGTCTCCCTGGCAGACCCCTTTGGAGGTCCTGTCCTCTCTCACTTCTCCACTGTCCTCCCGTGTCCGGCTGCCCCCTCTGGCACCTTGTCTGGTCTTTACCTCCCCTTATTCTCTAAGAACTTGGTGAGTCGTGCTGACCTGCAGGATGCGGGGGTTCACCAGTTTACTCCTGCGAGTCAGCGGGTGACCCACTGCTCGGACGCTCGCACGGGCCGGCACCTGGCCACCTTTACGCGTTGGCCGGGGTCCAGTCTCTACACTCTGACCACTGGGTCCCCTCGTGTCCCTACTTCTGGCCAGGTAGCTGCGTCGGGTCAGGTGTTTGCTGCAGCGTCCAGGTCTGGTCCTGAGTCTGCCCCCTGCTCGTGTCGCCTCCTGTCTCACGAGACTCCCCTGTGGCACCACCGTCTTGATCACCCCTCCCTGCCTCGTCTCCGAGGCATGGCTTCCCGTGTCCTTGTCTCTAGTCTTCTCCGGTCCCTCCCTCCCCTTCCTCCGGGGCCTGGTCCTTTCTGTGTCCTTTGTGTCGAGGGGCGGCTCCGGGCTGCCCCTCACTCCTCCCAGTTTCCCCCGGCAGAGGCCCCGCTGCAGTCGCTTCACATGGACGTGTGGGGCCCAGCCCGCGACCGTGGACACGGTCACGATCGCTACTTCCTGCTGGTGGTTGATGACTACTCGCGTTACACCATAGTCTTCCCCTTGCGCAGCAAGGGTGATGTCACTGGGGTGTTGATCGACTGGATCCGCGCAGCTCGTCTCCAGCTCAGGCGGAGCTTCGGCCCGGACTTTCCTGTTCTGCGTCTGCACTCTGACCGAGGCAGAGAGTTCTCCTCTGGCCTTCTGCGAGCCTACTGTCATGCGCGAGGCATCCGCCAGACCTTAACGCTTCCGGCCTCTCCACAGCAAAATGGGATTGCTGAGCACCGCATTGGCATGGTCATGGACGTCGCTCGTACGTCCATGATGCATGCGGCTGCCCCCCATTTTCTGTGGCCGTTTGCGGTTCGGTACGCGGCGCATCAGATCAACCTTCACCCCAGGGTCTCCAGGCCGGAGACCTCCCCAGCCTTGCTGTGGACGGGGAAGGTCGGCGATGCGGGTGCGTTCCGTGTCTGTGGATCTCGAGCGTTTGTCCGCGACTTGTCTGCGGACAAGCTGTCCCCTCGTGCTGCTCCGTGTGTCTTCCTTGGCTTCCCCCCTGATGCCCCTGGGTGGCAGTTCTAGCACCCCACCTCTCGACGTGTTCTGTCCTCCCAGGACGTCACGTTCGACGAGTCAGTCCCCTACTACCGCCTCTTCCCCTACCGCACTCCTTCCCTCCCCACGCCACCGCACTTCCTTGTGCCAGGTCCCCCCCGGTAGACCCCCTCCCCCCTCACGGTCCTGCCCCTTCAGGTGTGTCCCAGGTAGACGCAGTGGAGCTGGTCGAGGTTGCTGGTGACTCTGGTACTGCTGCGGGTGCTGAGCCTGGGGGTGCTGACTCTGGGGGTGCTGCGCGCGTTGGTGCTGAGCTTGGGGGTGCTGAGTCTGGGGGTGCTGCGATTGGGGGTGCTACGACTAAGGGTGTTGAGCCTGGGGGTACTGCGACTGGGGGTGATGAGCCCAGGGGTGCTACGACTGGGGGTGCTGAGCCTGGGGGTGCTACGTCAGGAGCTGCTAAGCCTAGGGGTGCTGCGTCTGGAGCTACTGAGCCTGGTGGTGTGGAGCCAGCGGCCACTAGACCTGCTCGTGTGGCGTCTGGCGGTGCTAGG